AATTCACAGCAAACTTAATGTAGCATATACAGACACTGATTTATAATGATGTACACCTGAAATGTATATAATATTATAGTGCAGGGCTAGTTCAATGAATTTTTTTTAAAAGAAAGTAGAATAACGTATAATTTTTGTTTGTCTTTAACCATTGGATTGTAAGCTCCCCGAGGACAGGGATTTTGTCTGCTGTTCAATCCCCAATATCTAGAACATTGCCTGGCATATCACAGGTGCTCAATAAATATGTGATGAAGGGGTGAGAGAATGAACAAAAGGGGGAAGCAGTGGGAGGAGGGTCATGTAAGATCTAATGGGGCCTGGGATTCCCCCAATTTTACCCTGGGAATTGCCATCTGTAATGGAGAAAGAATGCATTTGTTGTTCAAGTAATTGGTAGTAACTGATGGTAATTTCAAGTAATTAAACACTAATTAATTCGATGAGTCAGTAATGTATTTATTTATGGTATCTGTGTTTGTTCCCTTATAAATATTGGTATTACTTTTGTCAGGCAATTAAAATCCACTAGAAAAGTCACTGAGGTCCCCGGAGGTTACAGAAACTTGGCCTGTCTGGGGCTAAGTATGAGCACTGGATACAAGGTTGGGAGAAGTTTAAGGTTGAAGCTCAGCTGGATGGGACTGGAACAGGGCAGGCTCTGGCAAGGGATTTTTGCTCTTGTTTGCTGTTGATTTGGGGTTTGGGCTTAAGATGCTTGGTATCAGGACCTTCCTGGTGGCATAGGGGTTAAGTCTTAACGCTGTTACTGTGAGGGCCTGAGTTCAATCCCTGGCCAGGAGCTGACCCACACGGCACAGCAGACCTCTTCTGTCTCAACCGCTGCTCCCCTCAGCAGTGTATTTCAGTCAGTCTGCCTGTTCTGTTCCCCGCTCTGTCTCTGGTGAATCCTCTCATCCCCAATACCTCTGGCCTACAACCCAGTTCTACTATGCATAAATAAGTAAATAATATTTTTTAAAAAGATGCTTAATATAAAATCCTTTCCAACTTCTTGACTTCTTTTGTTCCCTTCCCCAACTCAAAACTTCTTTTAGGTTGGAATATGAGGTCCATGGGAGACACTGGGTATAGGCTGTCCTTTCCCGCCCTGATTTCTTTTCTGAGAAAATGGCAGCATCCTGAGGTCTTGGCCTTCTGCCTTGAGCCCTGATCTGCTAGATGTATGACCAACTCATTCTGAGCTGACTAGGCCATAGAGGGGAAGAAGGGGTTTAGCTGAGCCCATAGGCACTGAAGGACCCACAACAGGACTTGAAGGGCTGAGAGGAGATGTGTGGGGTTGAACAGAGTTGGAGGAGAGTCTGAGCTTACAAAAGGCAAATCCCAGGCTGGGGTGGTCTCTAGATGACTTTGGGCCAGGTAGATGTAAGTATCCTGCTCCCACAGATGGAAGGACACCGAACTACGGCACCCATGGAAGACACTGCCTTCTTTTCAGATTCCAACCCTCATTTTCCCAACACCTCAAATTAGCAGGGTCAAAATGTAAACCTCCCCCGGCCCACCATACTTTGCTTTTTAGATCTTTCATGGCCAGTTGGCAAGTTAAACTTATAGCTTAGGGAAAAATGACAAATTGGCCTAGATAAAGCAGAGAAAGGATTGGGAGCAGGGCAGGGTATCTCAGAGGCTACAATATATAAGATCTCTTCTCCTCATGAGCCTTTCAGATCTGCCTGGACTTCCCTATGCAGTCTCCCCACTCCTGAGAGGCAGCAGGGATGATTAAAACATAAACTCTGGTGTCAGAAGGCATGGGATCAGATTCTGCCTGGCTCTATTACTTCCTCTGTTCATTTGCTCTGTTGGGCAAGTTACTTAACGTCTCTGAATATCAGTTTTCACATCCATGAAGTGGGAATAATAATAGCATCTGTCCCAAAGAGTCCTTACAATGTTTATGTAAGCTTACTGCACAGAAAACATCTAGCCCAGGTGGCCTGGCAGGCAGAATGTGTTTAATCTGCCTGAGTTATCATGTGTCTGGCCACCCATGACTCACTTTCTGCATTCCAGTTTGTCCTCACTGCTAAACTCAAAGAATCTCCTATCCTTGTTGCTGGCTGACTAGCCCTGAGAATTCTCCTTCTAAGGACTCAAAGAAAACACTCCCTCCTCCCGGATATGAAGTGAGCATCTTCTTTGCAGACCTTTACTCTGGGCCCCCAAATGTCAAAAAGGAATTGTCTTTCCTCTGTCCCTTTACCTCTCCTGAAGCCCCGCCTCTGGGGTGGCCCCAGCTTCCGGTTTCTTACTGGGTCCCAGTGACTCACCACCATGCAGTCTTGCTCTCTCACCATCTCTGTCTCCCAGTCTCTGATCCTCTCTCTGTCTCTCTTGCCTTTCATTTCCCTCCCGTCCTCCTTTTGTTCTTTCTGTTTGTCTCCTTTAATTAGCCATACTTTGGAACTGAAGTGTTTTTATTATGTTTTATTTATTGAATGGCTGTACGTTTCCTGCTCTTAATTTAAAAGGCAGATCGATAAAATGCTTTATATTCTTTGCTTAAAACAAAACAAAGCTAAGTTAAGTTGTTCTTTGTTCATGTGGTTCTTCTTGCTTCTTTTTTTTTTCTTTGTAGGAAGAAAAGGTTCCGCATCCCCATTCCCTTAATTGACAAGAACACTTAATTCACTCACTGGCCCATTCATTCAGTTAATTATTCACTAAGCAGCTACTGAGCCCCAGGTGTGTGCCAGGCATTTTGCAGGATGTGGGGGACATGTAGATACACAGAGCATCATTCCTGCCCTCAGGAGACTCCTGTTTGGTTGGACAAATGGACTTGGGTACTCAAAAGTGCCAGAAATGTTAGAGGTACTGTGTCAATGTGTAACAGTGTTGGATGTGGCACGAGGGAGGGAGTGGGGCAGGGTCCTAGGTGGAGAACAGTTTGGGTTGAGAATTAAAAAATGAGTAGGTGTTTGATTTGGGGTCACCCAAAAGCAGATCCTAAGATAGGGAAAAGAATGTAAATAGTCAATTCTGGGGGAATCCCAGGAAACACTAGTAAGGGCGAATGGAAAATAGACATGGAAGGAAGGGAATCAATGAGCAGGTTGCCACTGAGCAACTGGGGCTCACTCCCTCTGGGAATCTTGAGGAGATTGTGTAGAACATGCCTCAGAGTTGTTCCAACTGAGTGGTGAAAGAGCCGGAGTATTTATACTCCTCCAGTCTCCCATCAATCATTGCCAGGAGGGCTGCTTGGGAGTTACTCACTCCGCGGTACACCTGGCCTGCTGTACAGACGGCAGACTGGACTCTGGTGGTGAGAGAGAACCTTCAAGCCAAGATGCAGGTTCTCAAGTTGGGAGTCAGGCCTGTGTGCCCTGAAGCAATCAGCACAAAGGACACAAGATCATCTGCTGCTGTAGGTGTTGGGGATGGGGAAGGGCAGGCCAGACAGGTGGCAGGTGTGAGCAAAGCAAAGGGTATAGTGACCCCAGGAGCTCACATCTGTTTTTGGGTGGTTCCAAAATTCAAGTCCAGGAAGTCTGTCTTTGCCTTGTCTGGGCCCCAGTTTCCTTATTTATAAAATGGGGGATAAAAAAGACCTTCTCAACTTACCAAGGTGATTTGCACAGACCACCCACCCACCTCCAACTTGGACCTGAAGAGCCAACCCCAATTCAATCCTTGCCTTGAATTTCTCCACCTTACCTCCCGCCAGCCTCTGAAGTCCTGGATATGCGAGGCTATTTATGATGCCCTGTCGATATCTGTCTTGGCGGAGGAGCGTGGAGGGGGACGGATGGAGCCTGGGGTCCTATCCATCAGTCACTTGGCTGCAATCTCTAAAGAGATTTTAATTGTGAGCTCAGATTTACTCCAGTCATCAGGAGCGCCCGCCCGCCTCTTTACTGGCGGAGCTCAGGGCCTGCAGGCCCGCTGTGGTTTGCCAAATGGACGTCTTGCAGCAACGCTGAGGAAATATTTGCTGCAGTGAAACAATGTGCCTGGCGGAAAGCAATCGCCCTAAATCGCCCCCTGACAGCCTGCCAGAGCTCTTCCGGGGCTCCTTCCGCTGTACTCACAGCTTTCTTTCTAGAGTTCTACCCTTGCTATCCACCTAGTGAACAAGGGTGACGCCCTAAAGAGAAACTGAGGCAGAGAGCTACTTCCCCTTTTCTGAGGCATTTGGAAGGGGGCCAGTAGGAGAATAAGTTGGTAGTTTGGGATGGTGTGGTGTGGGAAAGAGAACCTTGGGGTAGGAAGACCTGTGCCAGGCCCACCCTGGGCAAAATGTACAGTAGACATTAGGCCCGTTCACAACTGCGGACCAGAGGCTAAGGGAAGTGGGAGATGGGCCTGAGATAGCATGGCAAGTTATGATGGAAGCGGCTAGAAATCTCAAGCTTTGGTCTCTGATTTAATCATATAGGTTTTGTCATTGGACTCCTCAGCATTTCTTTCTTAGCAATATTTCCTGTGTCTCAAGGTTTCCCAGGGACCCGTCACTCCCAGAATTTGCTTTGGGGAAATAACCTACTTCCAAGGACTTGATCCTCTGAGATTAAGTGACTCCATCTCCTAGAGGTAGCCGAAGTCTTCTACCTGGGGGTAAAAATACTTGTATCCTGATAAAAACAGAACCTCTGGAGGAGAGGAAGAGGAGGGACTTTCTAGACTATGAAGTCACTCAGATAAAGGGCCTTCTATTCTACCCTTGCCGCTCAGGGCTCAGGAGCAGATATGGCCTCCGTGTCATACCTAAACCCTGACGCAGGCCTGTTTTTGCAGAATTTATCCAACAGAAAAAAATAAAAACAAAATTGAAAGAAAACCACTAACTCCTAAAAACCTTGTACTTGATGTCTATTGCCACATTGCTGATAGCAGTAGAAAAAAGGGAAACTTAAATGCCCACAAATAGGAGAAATGGTTGAATAAATTGTCATCTAATTTTGGAATATTATGCAACTCTTAAAAGGAAGTAGACCTAATTTTTGACTTGGAAAGTTGCAAATGAAAAAAATCAGTTTGTATTTGGATTCCATGTAAAATAAATCTGTATATGCTTGTATTTGGGGAGTAGGTAAGGAAAAGCACATGGAGGGGTGAAAGAATTAGCTTTGAACACGGAAACAATAGCATCTTTTTGTTTTTTTTTTTTTTTTTTGAGCGCTCGAAGTTAATTTAAAATGGAACCAAGGAAATGAGCGCACTCCTCGCTGGATGTCAGTTACCTAAGACTGGGGCGCTCCACAGTGCGCGCGCGCAGGCGGCCAGGGCAGCGCCTCAGTCGGAGGGCGCCTTGAAGCGGTCCTTCTCGCTGCGGATGGAGCGCATGGCCGCCACGGGGTCCGACTCCCCGGCGTGCTGCTGCACCGTCTTCTCCCTCACCCGCATGAAGGGGTTGTAGGTGAACTCCTCGGCGATGGTGGAGGGCACCGTGGGCTCCCCGACGCCGTGCTTCTCCTTGGCCCAGGCCAGCTTCTCCCGCACGGCGCTGTTGTTGGGCTCCACGTGGCGCGCGAACTGGAGGTTGCTGACTGTGTACTCGTGGCCGCAGTACACTCTCGTGTCTGGAGGGAGCCGGCCCAGCACCTCGAGGAGGGCCTTGTGCATCTGGTCCGCCGTCCCTTCGTAGAACTTCCCGCAGCCCGCCACAAACAGGGTGTCGCCTGTGAACACGGCGGGGGGCTCGGCGCTGCCGGGCTTGCTCACGAGGTAGCAGATGTGGCCCGAGGTGTGGCAGGGCGTGGACAGGCACTTGACGCTCAGAGACCCCACCTGCAGGGTGAGCAGGTGCGTGGCCTTGTGGGTCAGGGCCCCGATCCGGTCATCGCCCCCATACACCTTCAGCCCTGGCTCCAGCTTGACCAGCTTCTCGTTCCCGCCAGCATGGTCCCAGTGGTGGTGGGTGGTGAGCACCGTGGTCAGCTTCACGCCCTGCTTTCTCACCGTCTCCACGACCTTCTGGGGCTGCACAGGGTCCACCACGGCGGCCTCCCTGGAGTCGGTGTCGATGATCAGGTACATGTAGTTGTCGGTCAGCGCCGGCAGCAGCTCGACCTTCATGGCGCCCTGTGCCACGGTCAGGCTCTTCCTCGCTTCCATGTGCTGGAGCAGGCGTCCCAGCAGGGCTGGACCCGCGCCCAGGCCGGCGCAGGCGGCTCCCAGCGCGGCGAGGCTGCGGCGGCTGGGCAGCCCGCGGCCCAGCACCATGACCGGGCCAACAATAGTATCTTAAACAAGGTAAAGTTTGCTTCTCTTTCACTTGAAGCCCTAGATGTTAGGGGCTCAGGGCTGGAACGGTAAGTAACTCTACTGCATGTTTCCTGTATCCACCATGAATAGCCCAAAGTCACCTCATAGCATAAGATGGCTGTATTAGCATCAACCGTCACATCAGCATTTCAACCAATAGGAAGGAGGAAGGCACCAAGAGTGGCATGCCCCCCTACCCCAAAAGGTCATGTCCTTAAAGTCTCATAGGTTCATTTTGGTTACATTAGAACCTAGTCCCATAGTCACCCTTAGCTGCAAAGGAGGCTGGGAAATGTAGTCTTCATTCCAGTGGCCATATGCCCAGCAAAAAGTCTTTGAGGAAACAGAGTGTGGATGTGGAGGGCAACTAACTGTCTCTGCCCAGAGGAAGGAAAAAAAAATTTTTGTATTGAACACTCTAGGGAAGGAGTTTGGAAAAGGCCATGGGGAGTAGTTAAATATTAATTTTTATTTTACTTACTATACTTCCGCATTGCTTGGCCTGTTTGAACTATTCTCAGATGACACTTTGCAGATCCCCAGATGTTCTGCACCCTTGCTGTGGCCACACTGTTCTTCCCACTTTTCCCCATGGGCTCCCCACTTCTGTGATTTTGTAAGTTCTGGTTCCTCTTCTTGAAATGCCCAATTCACCTTTACAGATGCCCCTCAAAAGTCATTTTGTAGGAGACATCTCCTCTCCTTGCCCTGAGTGGGGCACTTCTCTGCTGCCTTCCGCCATCTTTTAGAGCACACTGTGCCATCTGCTGGCTTATCTCCTGTCTGCCCACTCTCCCCTTGCAGGAGCTCCTCAAGGGCAGGGACGGCCACTCATTTGTTCATATCCTCTGGCACTCACAACAGCGCTTGTTACACAGCAGGTCCTGAACGAATGTGCCAGATGCTCCCCGGGAGCAATGTCTCTGTCAATCTTCACATTAACCTATGAGGTCACTACTATCATTCCCCTTTTACAGGAGAGGGTGGCAATACTGTGTAGTCAGGTAGGCTGGGGTTCTAGTAATAACACTAGGGTGAATTACCTAATTTCTAAAGTCTCTTTATAGATGGTTTTCCCATTTATAAATTGGAGCTTATGCTACCTGTATAGTAAGCACGCAGTAAGCACTCGATAAATGGTAGTGATTGTTGACTATGCAGTGTCTGGGGCTAGAACCTTTCCATCTTCTTCCTCTCTTTAGCTCTCCTCCAGTTAGGGAGAGTCACAGTGCCCATATACTCTGCCCAGTTCTATGGCCAGGTCCAGGATAGGTCAGGTCAGCTCCAGCTTATCCTCCTACCAACCCTGACATAGAGGCTGCAAGAATGGGAAGAAGGAGGACAGTAATTCGATTGCTACGAGTGGTCATACCTTCCAGTGTGTCCTCCCGCTGCTCCTCCCAGGCCTCCAGGGTCTATACTGTGCCTTTGCCACTGGCTCTGGTTCCCTTCCCAGTGATCAGTTCTGACGTTCTTTACACACAGGTCTTGGGTCCCCTTCTGGGGATGGGGTGGGGGCACTGAATAGATGCAGCTCTCTAGGTCTCTGAAGAGAACAAGTACCAAAGGAAGGTGACCCCCAGTACCATTCAGTACTCACCTCGGTAGGAGACCCCTACAGCCTTTGGCTGGGAAGCCGATACCTGGGTACTCATTCCCTGGGTCTGCCACCCCACGCAGAGAAATCATTTTGAACTCTGGGGAGGGTCACACAAAGACTTTCCATGAGGAGGAGCAAGATTCTGGTCTAGGTGAGGGAATCCTTTAAATCTAGCCTATAGATAACTCTAACTGTAAAACACACACACACACACACACACACACCCCGTGTGCACATATACACTAGCAGTAGCTCCCCCAGGGATGCTGAGTAGTAACAGGGCATCAAGTGTCCCATCCCTCTCCATGATTATAGGCCATGGGGAGAAAAATAGCTTTTCTTCCTCTGGCTTCTTCTGTGTCCAGAGTCTGCAGAGTCTAGTTCAGCGACATCTCCTGGATCAAGTGGCAGCCAGAAAACCATTGCACCAGGATCAAGTGCTGATCTCTCCCACGTGCACACCTCAGACAAAGAGTGGAAGCATCTGGGAGGTAGGAGGTAGGGACTAAGAAGATTCAGGAAAGCTCTTCTAGGTGTCTTCTGAGGTGGATGTTGGGCTCTGTAAGCTGAGGGCTGGGAGGCCGGCCCAAGGTTTATTTTCTCCTTTCCGGCGTGGGGGAAACCAGTGAGCAGAGGCAGGTGACCTGTTACGAGGTAGACCAAGTGACTCCTGGGTACTGTGTTCAAAGGCCTGGCTTCCATGCCAGGGAGTCACATGTTGCCACATGTTTCTCTGCTTCTGAGACTGTGTCTCCATGGCTAAGCCCTGACTCTTTCCCTAGTCTCCTCTCTCAGATGGGTGGGGTTGGACAGCAGTGTAACCTCAGCCTTCTTTACCAGGAAGGGGCCTCCCAAAGGCCAGAACCTGTGCTTCCAGAAGATAAGGAACTTGGAAAAGGCTGGGAGAAGGCCACTCTTCCTGAGGGCAAGATGAGCACTAATTCCCACTAAGTCCCCATCAGACTGGGCACCCAGTCAGTTGGGGAGAGGCAATATGGGCAGGAAGGGCAGGAAGAGACCTCCTGTCCCTGCCCTCTGCCCCCAACCCAAATTGCCTCCTTCACCCTTCCCAGGCTGTGTTTACTTCGGCCTCCTCCCCCTGCCCTGTTCTCCCAGCCGATCTGATTGCTGTAATTAGTTAATCAGTAACTGGCATAATTTCCCCCTGATTAATGCAGGAATAATCACCCGCCAGGGCTGCCAGCAATTTGCTTATCAGAGTCACTCTGAAACAGCTTTGAAAATGAACGATTGGCACCTTCCTCGGGGTTAAAATTAGAGCCCAAGGAGGCGCCCTCTGCTGTGGGCGTCTGGGATGTTGGGAGGGGCCCACAGGGGAGCCCTCCCAGGGTTCCCTGTGTCAGTGTCTCTGGAGGCCTGGGATGGGGTGGGGGTGGGGCCTCATAGCCTTCCTGGACCCTGAGCAGTCAAGTTCCTCATGTTAGCATTGGACTCTGCTGCACCCCAGCCAGCCCTCAGCCTCGGGAGCTGGCAAGTGTCATGGATCCTACGTGAAGGACTCGAAAAATGTTTGCTGGATAGACAGAGGAGAAATGCTCCCTCTGGCCCCCTGTATGGCCTCTACATGGGGATCCCAGAATCCAGGAAGACAGGGCACGTGTCCTTGCTCAATCCTTAACAGCCCGTAGTCATTGTATGGGTGGTGGCTGTGCTGCCTGTGGGCCCTGGGTGGAGCTGGCGGTGGGTGGGACCAGGTTTGTCCCAGTGTAGGAGTGGAAGGGACGGGCTGGGTAATTGGGTGATACAGAAGTCAGAGGTTCTGTTCCAGGTCATAATAATGGTGGTAGCACCAGTGGTAAGAGGCCTACCAACATCCTGACCTTTCGTGGAGCCAGGAATCACTCTAGGTTCTTTAAGTACATTATCTCATTTAATCCTTAGGAGATCATAATAAGCCCATAAGGAGCACTTGCTATATGCCACTTCTGCTGCTTTATTTTTATAATTTATTATTAATTTTGGAAATACTCCAACAGACACGAAGAAAGAATTGTAATGATGACCTCTTATGGGCTTAACACCCAGTTTCTATAAGACAGGAAGGGTCCAGGACAAGGACTGGACACGACTCGAGGACAAAATTTTGCTGTTCCTACAGGCTGGTAGACAAGAGGTTAAATACCTGATGATGCTAGGCCTGGACACTTGCTGCCATAAATTTTCTTGACTCAATTTTTTTTTTTAATCATTTCCAAGTCATCTTTCCTTAGCTTATCAAGTTGGCTGCTATGGGAAGGGAGTCTTGCAACCAGACTGGATCACATGAGCTGTGAGCACACAGCTTCCATGAGATGCTCGCCTTGCAGATGGTCACGACCCTGGACGTCCACCCAGCTGTCCACCCAGTTGTGCTGCCCATGACTGACAACAATAAATGGATTTTAACCAAGTCTACCCTCCTTGTTTTCTCAGCCAATAAAGTCGAATTCTTATGTTCTTAAGCCTCAGGCCTAAAACCTGTCTAGACCCCTAGTCCAGGCACCTTGGTGAGTCTCTCTCAAGCCCGGAGAGGTCTCCCCAGAGCTCTCCTTCCTTCCTCTTTCACTAGTCGATAAACACTGATTCCTTGCCTGCCCTCTGCAGTGTCTATGGAGTCCTCTTTTCAATCTTGACAAGAGGGTCTCAAGGGCCCTCTCCCAGGCTTGGGAGCGGGGCCCCCAGTCCATCTTTCTGATTTCCAGTGGATGGCACAGGGCCCAGTGGCTGGTTCACTCCTGGCTGACCCCCAGGTTCACTCTTGGCTGACCCGCCTGTTAGAGGTGGGATCGCACTGAAGGGCCCTGGGCCCACTCCCTTGTTCACTAACAATATCAGCATTTCATCTAATCTTGTGTCACTTTTCCACCCTCCATTCCTGTCCTTTTTGTTCAAGTTTTTTAAAAACCCGTCCCAGACATTCTATCATTTCACCTGTAAAATGAGATGCAGATCATCACAGCATTATCCTCACGGGGTTGTTGAAGGATTTAATGAGCTCACGTAGGTCCTAGGACACATGCACTCCGTAGACCTTGGGTATTATTAATATAGAACTGGGGAGTGTTCATTTGTTTGCCTGTTTAAATCTGTAAGGTCTAGACGGGAAGCATCTGTGGGATCTGGAGGGCCAGGATGGGTGAGTCTCCAGGTGCTGGTGCAGGAGCTGTTTAGACAGATCTTGGGGGTTATTAACATGATTGTTGTTACCGAGTCCTGTGCCTGTGAGTCACCTATGGAATTATGCTTGGGGACTCAGAGAATGGCCATGGGATGCTGTGGCTTTACAGCTGAGCTCAGGTTCCTGAGTGTTCTATTTGGCTCATCAAGTATATACCTTTCTCTCCAGCTCTCCCCGAGTGTCTGCAAGAGTGAGGGAAAGGGGCAGGCAGGCAATCAGGGGCACTGGAGGACCAGTTTTAACTCCCTCAGAAGGTGGAATCAAGTGAGGGATCAATTCAGGGAAAATCTAGGTGGTCCCTTGAGTGCCCCTATGCATGGGGGTGGAGAGTGGGGGTATGTCTGTGCAGCTGAATTGATTCCAGGCACACCACTGGGTAGTAAAGGCTATAGAAAGAGATGGTAGAAGC